CATCAGTCTACAAACTCGATTCATGAGATCCATGAATGTCGTTGGAGCATTGGTGAGCCCAAATGGAATCACCACGAAGTCATAATGACCATAATGAGATCTAAAGGTTGTCTTCAGTATATCCTCATCCCGAATCCTCATATGGTAATACCCCGATCGAAGATCAATCTTGGAAAACCGAGATGCACCTTGGAGCTGATCGAATAAATTATCAATCCTCGAAAGTGGATAATGGTTCTTCACCGTTAGCTTGTTCAGTTCACGATAATCGATACACATCCTGTATGACCCATCCTTCTTTTTCAAAAACAGAATCGGTGCTCCCCACGGGGAACTTCTCGGATGAATAAATCCTCAATCTAGCAGCTCCTGAAGTTGCATAAATAAATCTTGCATCTTGGGTGGAGCTAGACAATACGGTGCCTTGGCTATTAGAGCCGCACCAGGAATTAAAGCAATACGGAACTCCACTTGCCTCTCTAGAGGTATCCCTGGAAACTCCTCAGGAAATACATCGGGAAACTCTCGCACATCCGAAACACTGCTCAAATCTGGCATGGCCTCAACCCTCTTGTCTGAAACATAAGCTAAGAACCCAAAACAACCGTGCTGAAGAAGCCTCCTAGCCCTCGCAACCGAACAGAGAGTTGGACCATGCGCGGCTTTCTCTCCATGAATAATCATTTCTCCCCCACTTATGGTTCGAACTCTCCCTAGATGACGCTCACAGTCTATCATGGCCCCATTGGGCCCCAACCAATCCATCCTAATGATCACCTTCAATCCCCACAAAGGAATCATAACCAAATTGATAGAAAACTTCTCCCTAAACACATCCAGAACGCTCCTCCGATAAACCCTCACAGCACTCACGGTGCGGTCATCCGCAATCTCCACCTCAAGTGGGGAATACAAGGTCCCCGGAGCATCCCAAAACTTCTTGTTGAGCGCAAGGGATACGAACGATCTAGTAGCCCTCGAATCAAAGAGAACATGGGCCGACAAGCCATTGGCCAGAAAGGTCCCTACACAAAATCATATCAACCATAGTAAATATATAAATCCCAATACATATCCATGTTATTTTTAAAATTCATAGTACAAAGAGCTAAATGTGAAAACATCGGAAAATCCATGTATCGTCATCAAGTCAGGCCCTTTCCCTTACCAATAGAAGTACTTCAAACATATAAATAAATTGTAAGAATAAGCTTAGTGAGTTTCCCAATCAAACCAATCATATAATCGCATAATGTCATGCTCATACATATACATACAAATTGCCATGGACTCCATGGTCTTCAATGGAATGACATGGGCTACCCCCATGGTCTTATATCCTCACGCCATGGGCTCCCCCCATGGTCTTGACAAATGTCATGGGCTCCCCTTATGGTCTTCACATAAAACCATTAATAAATCAAATAACATACCATATCCCATTCAATACAAACATATTATATCCATTAATAGGCCTGCCTTGGTGCATTTGACCCATGAGTATGGTGAGAAGACTCAACTCAAATACTGATAGTAGCTGATTAGTCCACGGTTCCGATTATCTTCTCTACTCAATCCCTACACATAAATAACTCCTTAGATTCAACTCAATACTTCAAACCCTAACGGTCAACATTAGTCAAAGTCAAAGTCAAGGTCAACATTATGGGTTGACTCTACTCATCGAGTTTGGCTATCAACTCGTCGAGCTCCCTTATTGAATGGATGGATCGTGAAAACTCCCACCAACTTGTCAAGTTTTCTCATAAACTCGCCAAGTTAGCCATAAAACCAACTTCTTAATGCGTTAAGCCATTTCCTTTGAATCTAAAGACTCCAAACCTTATTTCCCTTTCAAAATGAGGTCTAGAAGGGTAAAGTTTCAAACTTTAGCCTCAAGGACCATCCATAAAGCTTCAAACTTAAACCCTAGGTCCTTTTAAGAGGGTCTTGACCCATTAAGCCCTTAAACACTCACTCCAATGTTCCAAAACATAGATTTGATGTCCCAAGGTAGGCAAAATACTTAAAGTTATTAACTTTATGTCCATGCATGCTAGAAATACCTTCAAAAGCTCATTTATGACTTCATAATGGACATATTGCATGAATGGGACATAAGGACCAATAATGTTTGCAAATTTAAGCCAAGAGATATCATGAAGGGTTTAAATCTAGCTTAACAACCCCTAGAATCCACATCTTCATAAACAACTCAACCAAAACCCTAAAATCATGCTTAAAATTCAAATAAGGAGATCTAGATGAATACATGACAAGTGTCGACTTTATACCTCAAAGATGTTGCCCTTGAAGAAGAGTTTCTGGATCTAAAGCCCCTCCATCAAGCTAGATTCTTCCCACCTTTAAGCTCCTTTCAAGAATCACCAAAACCACTCCTTTAAGCTCACCGCACTCAAGATGCAAGATGGAATACGAAACTAGGGTTTCTATAGACAAAGGAGGTTGGTAGGGAGGCTAACCAAAAGGGTTTAAGTCCTTTATGTAGGGTGCAACACCCTAAAATCAGGGTTTCATCTTTAGCCTTCAACTCGTCGAGTTGGATCCTTAAACTCCAGGACCAAAAAGATTCCTACACGACGAGTTGGAGCTCCCCAACTCGTCGAGTTCTAGCTAAAATCCTCAAAATATTGAAAAATGAATAATACTTGGACTAAACGTTACACCACTACCACGTCATGGCCAATTTCTTCCCACATGGCAGTGGTTCACGAATGCACATTTTATGGAACTGGCCTGCCACGTTGTGGTTATTCCATCACCACGTCGTAGCCTAAGCAAAAATCCTAACACTTAATAAATTAAATTAAATTCAGAAGAACCATACCAGGAAACGAGTGTTACAACTTTCCCTCACTTGAATCAGACTTGGAAGATGCTTATTCGACGCTCCATTTTACATCCTCCCCATTAGTCGTGTTTGGAATACGCTCCTTCATACTAAATCCCTAACCATGAAACTTGTGAGATTGGACTTCTTGATAGAAACTTGAGTTGGGGATAGTTGCATGTTGCATAACACAAATGCTTTTACTTTTTTTTATCCCGTTTTGTGTTAAGTTGAGCTTTGATTTGGATAAATAACCAACGTTAGTATAAAATTGTTGATTATTTTGAAAGTTGAATTATGGGTCATATCCTTCGAGTTGATTTTGGTCATTTAATCCCAACTTATTTGTTTTGGTTAACTAAACTTGATTTGGGACATTAAAATTCAACTTATTTTAAAGTGATGTTTAAATGGTTTTGGAAATTATATAAAGCCAACTATGTTTGAATTGGTTTTGATAAGCATTGGTTTATATAACTTCTACATCCATTGGATGTGATTTTTAAGTTAAAAAAATATATATTTCGAAGGCCAATTCGAGTAAGTTGGATTGCTATCTTCTTACACAAAATGAATCCACCTTGGGTATTCTCTCTAGGCAAGTCCATTGTCTAACTTCTTATAACATATGCTTAGGTTGATGATAGAGATAAGAGATAGAAGACCGTGTCTTAGAATTTGAGAAAACCACAACTTGCATGGTGAACGTTAACAAATGTTTTTGATACTTTCATTGTTAGCAACTTTGATAAACTGTTTATGATTTGGGACTATTTTACTTCCTCAAACCTAACTCCGAACAAATTTAGATTTTTAAATTGAAAGGGGTTTCCCTAAAAGGGTTTTCAATTAGACCCTAACGAGGGTTCTTACACAAAAAGCTTTGACTTTTGAAGTAGTCAAGTGGTGAAGGTTGATGACCCGAGTTTCTTCTATTAGAGCAGCAAAGGTTGTTGATCATCAAACATCAATACAACTAATATGCCTACTGTTGACTTTCCAGAAAATAGTTACAACTTTCTAATAACCGTTTATAACTTCGAAAACCGTTTTGGTCAATCTTATCCATTTTGTGAGTATAGATAAAAGTATGATTTTAGATTTTGGACTCTCTCGAATTGAAACACTTTAGATACTCACAATTATTTTGCTTTCATTTTGTACCTAAATCGAAAATGTATATGATAATTTATCCCAGATAAATTTTGTGTAAACATGGAATTAGTATTCGAAATATTATGATATAAAATCTTCATGATTTATCAGAAAAAATCTAGAATTTAATTACCATCTAATGTTGTTTCATATATCCTATTTCTAACTTCTCCCTATCTCGTTATTCTAATGAAATAATATGTTTATTTTATTTTTGTTATGTGTCATACTATTAGGCATCCTAATTAATATTGTGTTAGTTGTCAATCTATTAGTTCTTCATTTTAAATTTCAAATTTTAAATTTCCACTTTAATTATATTAAATTAATAAACTTAAAATTAAAATTAATACATGTTATAAGGTGATATAACTTCACTTATTTTTTTTAAATCAACGATTATAATTTTATTTAACTAAAAAGTATCTTTTAATTAATAATTTATTTAAAATAATCGATTAATAATTTTGAATTTCGTTATAAAATTTTAATTAATTAATATTAACTTGTAGGTAGTCGTATTTTTATATTTATTTCTAAGATAGTTTTTCAAGTTTTCCTGGCTCATTATCTACCAGAATAATTTTATTATCAGCAGGTCAGAATCCAAACCAAAAAATAAAATAAAATCACGTTATTCCTTCTGAAATTCCATTGGGTACATTGCACATACACTAACACCCACAAAGATTCAGCCCAGTAGTCTAAAAACGGTTCATGTTCTCAACATTTTCTGTAGATTTACAGCACCGAAGCCCAGATGGGAAAGGAGGGTACGACAATTTTTTTTCCAAAAAAGACCCATAACGTATATAGAAGAAGAGATAAGGTTTTGCAGCACCCTGCCACGTGTCAAATAATCATGGTTGGTTTATGATAAGGCATCACATCCTTTCAAAACCTTTATGTGGACATAAGCATGTAAGGTCATCAGCCACATGATCCAATGGCTACCAGTACGTTAGAATCAAGATAGATTTCCTTTTGTCCGTTAGATGGCAAACAGTACTATATATACCTATACATCAATGGAGACTAAAATCACTCACTGGATTCTTGAATCCATTCCTAACTATTCAAATGGCCTCCATCTCCTCCTCAGCCATCGCCACCGTCAACCGGACCACCTCCACCCAAGCTAGCTTGGCAGCTCCATTCACCGGCCTCAAGTCTAACGTAGCTTTCCCAGTTACCAAGAAGGCTAACAATGACTTTTCCTCCCTACCCAGCAACGGTGGAAGAGTACAATGCATGAAGGTATGATCGATCAACCATAATTTTAATGTCAAACTTTGATTACAAACATTCGTATCAAATCAGTTTACATTAATGTTTTATATATATATAATACGTACAGGTGTGGCCACCAATTGGGTTGAAGAAGTACGAGACTCTTTCATACCTACCACCATTGTCCGACGAGGCATTGTCTAAGGAAATCGACTACCTTATCCGCAACAAGTGGGTTCCTTGCTTGGAATTCGAGTTGGAGGTTTATTTCTTTTAATCACCTTTTATTAATAATTGATTAATAGAAACAAAACATCATCTAAAGTGAGTATTTATATTTGTGGTATAGCATGGTTTCGTTTACCGTGAGCACCACCATTCCCCCGGATACTATGATGGAAGATACTGGACAATGTGGAAGTTGCCTATGTTCGGGTGCACTGACTCAGCTCAGGTCATGAAGGAGGTTGGAGAGTGCAAGAAGGAGTACCCCAACGCCTTCATCCGTGTTATCGGATTCGACAACGTTCGTCAAGTGCAGTGTATCAGTTTCATTGTCTCCAAGCCCCCAGGCGTTCTCTAAGCACCAAAACTTTGGATTGACTCGAATCGGGTTCATTTGAATGTTTAGGTTTTTGTAATTCTTTTCCTTGAAATTTTCCTTTTTCTCTTCCTTTCGTTGTTTGTTTCCGGATTTCGATGAAATGGATAAGAGATGTCATATATAAATGATAATAATAATAATAAACATTTGGTGTTTTTCATGTATATGTTTTCTGATGGAGGTTTGTTTTCGTTATTTAATTACTAATTGGGTACCAAT